TTCCTAACTATGTTATAATCAACTCAAAAATAGTTTCTCTAGATCCTGAGAGTATGTAAGTAAATTCTAAAGAACTTCCTTCAATACTAAAGTCCTTAAAAAATCCAAACCATCTTTTTAAACAGATAGGCATTATTCGCTTTCAAAGGCTGTCAATAATACCTCAATAGATTATTGTGTCTCTTGTATTAGTTAAACTGAAAAAACGCTACCCTGAACAGTGATTACATTTCTACGAAATTGAAACGACAACAACAACAACAGCCAGACATTCAACTAAACAGCCAACCAATCAATCCTTTCATTCATTCAGTCATCCTTTTTCATTGTGCCATCTATTCAACCACTCAGTCACTCGCTCGCCCACTCAGCGATACACCTTGACATTTGTATTTGAAAGTAAATTGAAATTAAGTGGTTTTCAAGGCATCATTTGTTCAATAAAGTAAAGAACAATAGAAGTGGCAACAACGACAACACCAACAACATATATCCATTGGTATAAACAAAAACAATAACAAACAGCCCTGATATTATATTGAACAACAATAGAAGACATATTTATTCTTCATGGCGTGTAAACGTTGTCGGCATGAGGGGGCATGTCAATGGAGCAGCAGCCACAGTTGGTAAATACTTTTCTGTGCTCTATCTTTGGTCTGGTCAACTGTGGCTCAAAGGGTAATTATTTTGGTATTGGGTTTCATTGATGCTTGAGTGGTGTTTAGAATCTGTTATCAGTCTTCTTCATTGAGTTAGAGGTTTTTATTTTGATTACAAGGGCATGCAAAAACGGTGTTAAGTTCGGAATGTCAGAGGAAAACATAAATCTTCGACATATTTCAGCACTAGCTGAATCGGAATTTGGGAGACAATTAAGATATCAATAAAGTACATTTTGTCACGGGTCGAACATTTTGAACCCTCCATTATGTGGTGTGCATTTAAAATGTCTTAAAAAGAACCTTCATATGCAGATTAAGTCATAGAAATTTGTCAACTTGTATGATGTTTAAGTTCAGAGAAAATTAATTACAGACACTTGGGATGGAAAATTGGACTGGGAACTTAAAAGTGCCGAATATATTATGAGGGTCATTAATAATAAGAACATTATATGGGGACTATTTCAAAATATGAACATATTAGGTTGGGAAAAAGGAAATCCATTAGGCCGGTCGTCGAAAATGTCGATAATATCGGAGAAATGATCGAAGTGGACCGGCATGTTAACAGTCGTAACATAACCTAGGAGCTAAAAATCTACCATAAAACTGTTTAAACCATTTACTATTTGGCCTAAATCTGACATTCCGAAGCATCTTAAATAACGTCCTATAGTCCTATTCTAACCGATTGGACTTTAATATAATATTTTGGATTTCTTATTGCCGACATATACTCGTCTCAAAGAATTTGTAACGCCACCAAATATTAATCCTAAACCCACCGTTTAGTATACCGATCATCATATCTCGACTAGCTTAGTGGATCTAGACATGTGTGTCCCCCCGTCCGTCTGACTATTATAATTTTTAAACACGATACAGACCATAGTCATGAACCAATCGCCCTGGCAATTTGTATGGATCACCGGTTCTGGTCAAAGAAGACCCCTATTGCTTTTGGACCAAAGGAACCAAAAAGTTTATTCGATAACTTCATAATGGCTCTCTCATAGAAGTCCTGCCCTCTATTTGCAAAAAAAAATCTATAGTAGTCGATTGTCACAATCCTCCATAGATACCAATTTTTTTATCATTAAGGAAATTTTGCAATGCAAGAAAAATATGATAATCGCTTGGTGTCCTGGTGGAACAAGACATCTCTCCTGTTGGCCAATTCTGGCCATTTCTGGTCAATTGCTATCTTAAAATGTTTCAATTGTTGACAGTAGAGATCAGAATTTAGCGTTTGGCCATATGGAAGCAACTCATAATAAATAATCCCCTTCCAGTCCCACCATATGCATAGTAGAACCTTCCTGGACGTTAGACCTGGTTTGGCCACCGTTTGAGGTGCTTCACCTCTCTTTGATCACGCTCGTTTTCGCAGAGAGATATCGTATGTGATTCATTTCTCATCTCCAGTCATCTCCAGTGTGGCACCCAAACATCGATCTTCTTTTTGAATCCAGCTTTGTGTAAGTGGTTTAAAACAGATTTGTGGACTGCTATCATGCCGGTCAACTTCGATCATTTGTCCGATTTTGTCGGCATTTTCATAATGGATATCCTTTTCCCTAAGCTAATATTAAACAAGTGAAAAAGCGTTAAGTTCGGCCGGGCAGAACAGGTACAAGAAATGAAAATGTAGGAAAAATACCAAAAAGTGAATCTATACCGACATTCCAACAATTCGATTATGTAAATCATAGTATAAACCATAATAGACATTTCAGAAATTGTTAATGGATAATTAAAATTAAACCTTCAGTCTTATGTCTAATGAGGGTGTATACACTTTGACACTGTGAAAATGTGTCTCATCGAAATATTGGTTCAAGACTCCATGTTTCTGTGGACCAAATGTGATTCCTTCTGATACCTCCCACACAGGGGCTAGGCCTAAATGCGGGTTAAAGTTCACATATAGTTCATTATCGAACCCTATGTTATAGTATTTTTTTATCTCGATATCCTCCGCAGGTGATATGATTACAACAGAGTTTTAAAACCAAACCCAACACGCGGAACAAATTAGATAAACATTTTAATATAAGAAGGGGGTTATATGGGGACTACCCCAAAAAGGGGGCGAATATTAATAATTTTGGTGGGGAGATTTTTTATCATATACGACTAAAAAATACTAAATTGCAGCGAATTCGGTAGAAAAACGTGCTCAAGAACCCCAAGATACCAAATTTTGGGGGGTACCTTAATATTGGGGCTATACGAAAAAAATCAATTCGATGGAGAAATACGATTAAAACCCCTAAAATACTGAAAATTATGAGGTACCGTTATATGGGGGCTACCCGAAAAAGTGGACCAATATTCATAATTTTTTTTGGAGACATTTAGTACTCAATAGGAACCCAATGTACCAAATTTCAGCGAATTCGGTTGAAAAACGCGCTCAAGAACACCAAAATACCAAATATTGTGGGGGTACCTTTATATGGGAGCTATGCCTAAACGTGGACCGATGAAGCCCATCTACGAACTTGACCTGCCTGCAGACAAAAGAACTATGCTATGCTATGCAAACCTATGCTAAATTTCAGCACCCTATCTTAATTCCTTCAGAAGATAGCGTGAATACAACAGACGGGCAGACGGACGGAAGGACATGGCTAGATCGTCTTAGAATTTTACATTGATCAAGAAAATATATACTTTATAGGGTCGGAAATGAATATTTCGATGAGTTACAAACGGAATGACAAAATATACCCTCCATACTATGGTGGAGGGTATAAAAATATACCGATGTGCAATGAAGGATATCTGAAGATGGGTTCCATCATCGGACTTTATAGCGGTTGGATGAAATTGATCAGTCCATTTCTTTGATATTGCATGTACACATTTTAAAAATTAAAATCCTTTGTCGAGGAGTATACCGATAGATCATTTTTAATATTGGGTGAAATCCAATACTTCGTTCTGTGGATATTTTATTTCTTTAACAAAATTTTGACTATTTTGAAGAGATATTACGATATGCAAAGTTTAGAAGAAATCGATTACTCCATTCAAGAGTTATCGTGAGCACCATCCAGATGGACGGGTGGAAATTTTTAAATCTACTCAAAATTGTTTGAAAAAGATTTCATAAAAAGAAAACTAAAATCAATATTTTGATGAGGCTTGTTTTGTATATACCCGCCTTTAAATATAAGGTTGTGGTTCAAGCTCATTAGCCGAATTTCCTTGAGGGGGTTCTTTATGCTGGGAAACATCGTGGCAGGCAAATTTTCACATAGGTTCCAATAGCACCTTAAAAAATCAAGTGCCTCATTATGACATTTTTATTTTCTGGTGTTTTTTTTTTGTACGGAAGAGGGAGGGTACTTCAATTGCCTGAGGAAATTTTTCAATGTGGGTTCATGTTTTCGCATAGATTCCATAAAATTACCGCCTTGAGGATATTAGTCAATTTCCAATCTAAGTGTATATAATTGGAAATGTCATGTCAAAATATAAAAAACCTCCTGTTTTTCTGTTAAAATTGTCCCGACAGTTTTTGGTCAATTTGAATGTTTTCCGCATGTTGGAGAGTATAAAGATGAAAATGAAAATGTTCGATATAGGTCCCTGTTTTTTTACAAAGCCACCATACAAGGGTCCAACTTAATTTTCAGAATGTTGAAGTTCCTAGCCCAATTTCGAAGTTGAATGTCTTTAATTTGGTATTTCATATACTCAAAGGATTAAAAATGTTCTGGCGAACAGTCTACAATATAGGCCAATGTTTTTTTATTTATAACTTTATAAGAGTTTCGATCTAGGAGGTAGAGGATAAAAAGTTCGATCCGGCTGAATTTATATAGGTTCCACACAGGCATATTTATTTTGTCAGTATTTGCAAACGATAGCCTACATTGAACATTTTCTGGGGAAATTTATTTTTCTTACGAAGAAAATGTAGTGTCAAATTATAACCTTTTTGATTGCAAAATACGGCTAAAACCCTCAAAGTAACGACCATGGTACTGGGACTTCTGCTGATTTTAAGCCCATGTTTAGACCATTTTAAGGCTACATGATAAAAAATTATGAATACTCAATTATGGCTTCTAGGGGCCACTGTTTACATTAAAACATAAAATAATACTGCTTGCGTTTCTATAAAGGTCTGACGAGGACCAATCTACTCATTGATAAAAATAACAACAATAACAGATATTTAAGTAAAATTGGCATCGCGATGAACATCGAACAATCACTATAAATAAAACAAGATTGAATAGGAATCACCATAAGGTAACATCACCAATGATGAGGTGGCGATGTTGGTGTCCGCGAAAATCTCATTGCTCCTCACTCACTTACCATTTAATGTTGAGGTTAGTGTATCCGATGTTGAGTTTGTTGAATTGGTTAGCGTTGAGTTGGCGGCATCACTTGCCGCCGCACTGCTGCCGTGTCGTATTAGAAAGTCCTGACGTCGCTGCTCAATTATGGAATTAATTGAATGCTGTTGCAAGAGTTCAGTGCCAACGGTGGCCGCAGCGACTGCCGACAATGCCGATGGGTCTGTTGACAGGCCAGTTACGGTGTTATTTGGAGATCTCATCGTGCCGTTAGATGTTATTGTTGTTGCTGTTGTTGTTGTATTCAATGTAGCTTGATGGCAGTTGGAATCATTTGAATTGAACTGAAAAAGAAGAAAGAAGGAAAAGCGAGAAAACAGTTAGAGTGAGTGCTCTGTTCACAGTTATTCAAATAATTAAGACAATTAAGCAGCCGATAATTGTTTTAGAAAAAAAAACTTCTCCCAACACAGAAATAATAACACACAAATGTCAAGTGACTCATAATTGTTGTGAGATTTCTTGATGTTGTTGTCCTTTATCCTTTTGAATACCGTTTTATGCAATTGTCTTAACATTTACACATTGGGAAAGCAAAACTCCCCAAACTCAGCAGGTAAACATTTGGCGAAAGAACAATTGTCATCTAAACGTGAAGTGCTCCAAAGTGTCTTGTTAAGGAAAACGTTAAGGAGTTGCAACAATTTGAAAGGCATACACACACTAGCACCCAGAGGTCCTGCCACACTTAACACGCAAACACACATACTTAGCCGTAAAGACTCATTATTATTATTTCTTTCTTCACATACGTCAGAGAAGAAACATGGACAGTGGTTGGTTTGGCTTTTGGTATCTGGTAGTTTTTTGAAAGGTTTGTAAATATTCTTTAAAAAATCCACGCCTAGAGCAATGAAAGTCCTTTATAAATATTCTTTAAAAAATCCACGCCTAGAGCAATGAAAGTCCTTTATAAATATTCTTTAAAAAATCCACGCCTAGAGCAATGAAAGTCCTTTATAAATATTCTTTAAAAAATCCACGCCTAGAGCAATGAAAGTCCTTTATAAATATTCTTTAAAAAATCCGCGCTTCTTATTGTCCTTCAAAAAATATTCTTAGAGCAATGAAAGTCCTTTATAAATATTCTTTAAAAAATCCACGCCTAGAGCAATGAAAGTCCTTTATAAATATTCTTTAAAAAATCCACGCCTAGAGCAATGAAAGTCCTTTATAAATATTCTTTAAAAAATCCACGCCTAGAGCAATGAAAGTCCTTTATAAATATTCTTTAAAAAATCCACGCCTAGAGCAATGAAAGTCCTTTATAAATATTCTTTAAAAAATCCACGCCTAGAGCAATGAAAGTCCTTTATAAATATTCTTTAAAAAATCCACGCCTAGAGCAATGAAAGTCCTTTATAAATATTCTTTAAAAAATCCACGCCTAGAGCAATGAAAGTCCTTTATAAATATTCTTTAAAAAATCCACGCCTAGAGCAATGAAAGTCCTTTATAAATATTCTTTAAAAAATCCACGCCTAGAGCAATGAAAGTCCTTTATAAATATTCTTTAAAAAATCCACGCCTAGAGCAATGAAAGTCCTTTATAAATATTCTTTAAAAAATCCACGCCTAGAGCAATGAAAGTCCTTTATAAATATTCTTTAAAAAACTTACGCCTCTTATAGTCCCTGAAAACATATTCTTTTAAATATCCGCGCCTAGAGCAATGAAAGTCCTTTATAAATATTCTTTAAAAAATCCACGCCTAGAGCAATGAAAGTCCTTTATAAATATTCTTTAAAAAATCCACGCCTAGAGCAATGAAAGTCCTTTATAAATATTCTTTAAAAAATCCACGCCTAGAGCAATGAAAGTCCTTTATAAATATAAAAAATTCTTTAAAAAATCCACGCCTAGAGCTCAGTTGGTCCTTTAAAATATTCTTTAATAAATCCACGCCTTCAGTTGGTCCTTTAAAATATTCTTTAATAAATCCACGCCTTCAGTTGGTCCTTTAAAATATTCTTTAATAAATCCACGCCTTCAGTTGGTCCTTTAAAATATTCTTTAATAAATCCACGCCTTCAGTTGAAAAAATCCACGCCTAGAGCAATGAAAGTCCTTTATAAATATTCTTTAAAAAATCCACGCCTAGAGCAATGAAAGTCCTTTATAAATATTCTTTAAAAAATCCACGCCTAGAGCAATGAAAGTCCTTTATAAATATTCTTTAAAAAATCCACGCCTAGAGCAATGAAAGTCCTTTATAAATATTCTTTAAAAAATCCACGCCTAGAGCAATGAAAGTCCTTTATAAATATTCTTTAAAAAATCCACGCCTAGAGCAATGAAAGTCCTTTATAAATATTCTTTAAAAAATCCACGCCTAGAGCAATGAAAGTCCTTTATAAATATTCTTTAAAAAATCCACGCCTAGAGCAATGAAAGTCCTTTATAAATATTCTTTAAAAAATCCACGCCTAGAGCAATGAAAGTCCTTTATAAATATTCTTTAAAAAATCCACGCCTAGAGCAATGAAAGTCCTTTATAAATATTCTTTAAAAAATCCACGCCTAGAGCAATGAAAGTCCTTTATAAATATTCTTTAAAAAATCCACGCCTAGAGCAATGAAAGTCCTTTATAAATATTCTTTAAAAAATCCACGCCTAGAGCAATGAAAGTCCTTTATAAATATTCTTTAAAAAATCCACGCCTAGAGCAATGAAAGTCCTTTATAAATATTCTTTAAAAAATCCACGCCTAGAGCAATGAAAGTCCTTTATAAATATTCTTTAAAAAATCCACGCCTAGAGCAATGAAAGTCCTTTATAAATATTCTTTAAAAAATCCACGCCTAGAGCAATGAAAGTCCTTTATAAATATTCTTTAAAAAATCCACGCCTAGAGCAATGAAAGTCCTTTATAAATCTATATATATAAAAATGGAGCAAGAAAAATGTATACTAACGCATCAATTGAGAACGGCTGGACCGATTTGACTCATAATTTCTTTCAATTGTCGGTAATTACAGTGGGAAGGTTTTTATGAAAGAAAATTTTGAAAAAAATCCGCGAAAATCTTGCAAAAAATATTTAAAAAAACGGCTGTACCGATTTGACTTAAAATTTCTCTTAGTTGTCTATAATTGAAATGGAAAGGTTTTAATAAAAGAACATTTTGAGGAAAATCCGCGAAAATCTTGCAAAAAATATTTAAAAAACGGCTGTACCGATTTGACTTAACATTTCTGTTAGTTGTCTATAATTGAAATGGAAAGGTTTTAATAAAAGAACATTTTGAGGAAAATCCGCGAAAATATTGCAAAAATTATTTTAAAGAAACGGCTGTACCCATTTGACTTAAAGTTTCTGTTAGTAGTCTTTAATTGAAGTGGAAAGGTTTTAATGCAAGAACATTTTGAGAAAAATCCGCGAAAATGTTGCAAAAATATATTTTGAAAGATATTAGAATTTCCACGCATTTTATATCGAACCTTTATGATTTCATCTCTTCGTAATTCTTCTTGGACATATTTTGGGCGAAAATTGGCAGCGTATAAAATTATTAAGTAATTATCATTTATGGAAAATTCTCAAAATATGTTAATTTTCTACAATCAATTGGATTGTCATTGCCTTGAAAAAACTATTGTATTACTATATAAAAATTAATTGCTGTTCGTTAGTCTTCCTAAAACTCGAGAACGGCTGAATGGATTTATCTGATCTGATTTATCTGATCTTGAAAACCGCGGAAAATTTGCAAAAAAAAAAAAAAAAAAATTATGAAGCATATTTGCATTTTCACGAATTTTGTACCAAGCTATTTGATTGCAACACGTCGTAGTTGCTTTTTGAGATATTTTGGGCTAGAATTGGTAGCAAGTCAATTCTATAAGCCTTCATTTTCAATTATTGAAAATTTTCCATTTCAATTGGATTGACATTGTATTGAAACTTTCTTTTTGTGAGAATACAAAAAAAAAAAAAAAAAATGAGAAGTATATAATTGAATGTACACGCGATCATTGTATGTACACGGTTTTCTATAAAATCCACGTAAATTTTGGGACAAATGCAAGGATGAAAATCAAAAGACAGTCGGAATAGAGTTCTGATTCTAAGATTCATGCCCTAGATTATTTTCTTGAAAATAATAATAATAATAGGGACATGTTGATCCTCAAAGTACCTAAATTGTTGCAATGTCACGAGAAATATCAAATCTTCTCCTAATCGTGGGTTAATGTCTTTGAACTTATAAACACAAAACTTCGCACTTTGTAGATTCCCTAAATCGGTGGGGACAATGTTTCAGCATTATGTAGTAGTAAGTTGTCCATGCTCTGAAAAAATAATGTTAAAAATTACAGGCATACCGATAATTAAACGGGAAATATTTATGGCACCTTTTGAATACGTTAGGCCAACCCAATTCGGTCAACGTCCTAAATAGAAATGGCCCTAAATAGAAATGTTTCCGCAAAAATGTGTTTTACCATCCCGGAATGATATATTACAGCTACTACAATGGGAATGGATATATGCCAAATTAATTATGCCGATTATATTTAAAAACGTGCCCAAATCCCCGCATAGCATCGAAAATGTGGAGTACTATTATATAGGCGATATTTGGAGGCTTGGGCGAATATAAAATTACAGCCAAATACCGAATTTTAGGTATACCGTTATATGGGGGATATTCGAATTCTTGGGCCAATATTGATCATTTTAGTTAGGCAGTATTAGTAGTAGTATCCCTATTATTAAATTAGAAGAAATTCTGTGGATTATTGGGGGCTACCCTAAAAAGTGAAGGAAAATTTAACATTTTCAATACCAAATATCTTATGAGTAGTAGAAATGTGCAAATTTCAAAGTCCTATATTAAATCGTTGTGGCTATAAAAAGCTAATTTAATATTGCGCTACCGTTATATGGAAGTCTTATAAATATATTGGGGAAATGTAATCCGGAAGTCAAACTTATATGTGCATTTAAATGTTTTTAATTTAAATTTATTCTCCACGAATTCAATTCAATTAATCAACTTATATCCAACGAAACTTTAGAAGACAAAAATAGCAAATAGCCCATAATGATAAAATTTTAGAAAATGTTATTTTCTGTGTGTTCGGGCAAATACCAATATATTACAAAAATCTGTGGAGGGTATAAAAACCAACCTAAAATGACGAAAATTATAGATCAACTACATTGCTAGGCAAGACAACGTTTGCCGTGCCCGCTAGTATTCTTTAAAAAATCCACGCCTAGAGCAATGAAAGTCCTTTATAAATATTCTTTAAAAAATCCCCGCCTAGAGCAATGAA